AATCCTCAACCAAATCAACCTTCCAATATGTAGATCTTTCATTCTTTCAACATCTCTTACTACATCCGCAGAAAACCTTTTTTATCCCAATTTTTATCTCGTATAAAATGAAATGCAGATAGCATGGGTAAGTCATAATGAAACAGCCTCAGGAAAAGGCATGCGTATGTACGGCCACCAGAATTAAAACTTAAGACAATACCCCCCAACGCGACAGGCATCATCGTCATTGGGAGACCAATCGTAAAAATGTGTATTCTTCCACCGTTCTGGGACATTCCCTTGGATTCCGAATAGGTCATTTTTCTCTTATCAATTTTCATTTCATTCGCTTTAATAAACGCGTGATCAGTCATGCCTCGTATTTGTGGTGCTCTACTTTCTCCGATGGACAGAAAATTTCGTCGCACATCAAATGATGTAATCCATTGATAATGTAATAGAATCATCAAGTATGCCAATGTTTCGTTATATCCTCGCGAAATCTTCGTTAGCAGTATTTTTACTGACAACGAAGTTAACCGGATCAATAATCTTGCGAGGATTTTCACTGGCATGATCATAATCTGATCCTTTGGCAAGTAGAGTCCGAACCGAGCAAGCGTCTGAACGAATTCAGGACTCAAAGGTACAAGAAAGAACTTGAACTTAGAGAACTTATGTCAGATTTTTCCACATTGCGAAGACAACCATTCAACGAACTCGTCAACGTCTTTTGACTGGATTTTAGCCCATACGTAATCGCAAGTCCATTCAGCATCATCTACTGCTATTTTTGAAGAGTGGACTGTACCTTATTTTGCATAGCCACGTTCATAACCGTATTTCCATACAGAGTAGTGAGCTCGCCAGAGGCCTCGCTGGTTAGAAATATAAAATCTCTTCCGTCAGACACCCACACTGGTTCCACAAACTCTAAGACTCTCATATCTTTAATTTCAAGACAATCCAGATCATAATATTCTTCTTTCAGACACATATTCACCAGGATCGTACTTTACGGCTTTAAAAGGCATAATTTTAGATATATCCTTCCCTACTACAGTTTTTTCCAACAAGTAACCCAGTATATCATCTATCACCTGATACGAACACCCATTTACATACCAAAAATATATTTGTCTACCATTGTCCCAATATGAAGAACGCACGTACCCTACATCGAATGCGCATTCGGACAGCTCTATTATAGGCTCTTTCCCTCATTTTCCGGGCGCACATTGTTATCGCTAGTACACTTGCTTGGAAGGCGGTCGTGGTTGTGCTCAGGTTTAAGGTAATCCTTTCCCCAGTTCCTCCTTTTTCGACTATACTAGCGCCTGTGCCCGAGGCTGTTTTTGTGTCTTTTGTATATTGGAGTTGTGCTTAAGATGACATACTGTTTGCTTTCATGCAAATGTTTGATATTCCATATCTCCGTGAGGTTGCATCCGTTTTTTTTTTGTTTCCAAGCATTCTTTTCCATGATAAAGCTGCGTCCACAAGTCTATGGCTGTCTGCGTACGTATATAATACTCATTTTCCTTTTTCAGACACAAACGTATACAAGTACCAAGCTCTTGCAACTGACAAAAAAGCAATGGTTTTGATTTGTTGTTGCTGTAACCAATGTTTGATACTCGAGTCAACTCCTGGTTAACGAACCCGATGCGAAGTTTTTATAATACACAAATGCATAAACTAAAATCCCAAGTTATTCGTCTGGCTCACAATTTCTCCTAAGACAATGTGATGACACAAAACCATTAATAAGGAGAGATTTAGCGGCAGAAATGTAAGAGAAACAATTAGAACGGGTATTTCTTACACCATTGCTCCTTATACAGCTTATCTTTTCAACGGGATCTTGGTCGAAAGATCTAGGCGACATATATTGACATTTTCTGACCATAGATCATTCCAGATGTATAACGCCACGCAACGTGTAAATAAGGTTTTTGATGGATGTAGTGATCTTGATTCAAGAACCGGATTTGTTTCTTCATCTCCACAACTCAATATAATTGGGTTGTGGTCCCCTCCTCTATAGTCTCAATGGATACCACCTGCCGGATGTTCTTAACAATGCCAATGTCCAACACCTCTGATATTCCAACTCCTGTTGGAATCCTTGTGGGAACCTCAGGACCCATGACCACTGCATTGTGGGCTTCAACTGCCTCCGCCAACACTTGACCGTTCCTGCAAGTGCGGGAGCTGTTCCTCTTCGTCTTCTTGCAGTTCAGGTCTCCTATTAGCAGCCTAGCTCGGTTGCTGCCCAGCAGTGTCTCGATGTCCTGCGGTTTCAGCTCTTCCCGGGGGGACTTGTAAGCAGATGWAACTGTYACAGGTCCCCTGGTAGTGTTGACTTGCACGCTAATAGCATGCAAGTCGGTGTCTTCAATGTCAAGGCTGTGATGGTCTATGTCCTTTCTCACCAGAAGGGCCACTCCTGGTCGTCTGCTGGCAGTGTCGTACCTGTTAAAAAAATAATTGTCAAATTTTACTCTGGTGGTAGAGCATAACAGAGTTTCCTGGAGTGCCACCACTTCAGGTTGTCTGCTCTGCAGGAATACGTCCAGTTCCGGACGTCGACATAGCAGCCCGTTGACATTCCACGAGGCCACTGTAAAACTCGATGGCTTCTTAGCCATGGAGCTTGTCCAGTATTGCCCGCAAAATGCCTGCCAGTTCCTGCTGGTCCAAGGTGTCCAGCTGGTGGGCTGCTGCCGGCTTGAGCTGCTTTATTGTTTCCTTTCGGACTACCGGGATTGTCTTTCTTGGGTACTTTGGGCAACCCCGCCAGCTGGCTGGATGTCCCGCAGTACCACAGAGCGCACAGTTACTGTTGCGCTCTTTACCTTCTAAAATCCGCCATCGAATTCTTCATCTAACTCGTCATCAAAGTGTTCAAGAGGTTCTTCATTGGATATTTTACTTCATTGGATACTTGGAAGATTGAATTTCACGTTTCAAACTCAACAGAATGCTGGCAACATTGTAAACGCCCACCCAATAATTTTGAATTTTGAAAGCCACACTCAATCCGCTTTCTTATCAAATTAAATCAGGTGGTACAATAGAAAAAAAGGTAAATTTATTCTTAGTTCAATTCTTCATCAAAAGAGGCTTCGAAAAATCTCCCATCGATCTCTTCAACTAATTCTTCATTAGATATTGTATTATTGAATTCACCGGGAGTCCCATCATCGCAGTTATAAGCCTCATTCGAGAGTTGCGGCCTCACTGCTTTGATGAGTTCGGCCAAATCTTCTTTGAGTCCAATACGCTCGGCCTACATATCTATCGTGTCCAAGCGCTCCACGTCTGAGAAATGACTAGTTCCGGTAAATGTAGATTTTGTAGCAGCTGTGTTCACAACAGCGACATCATCTGTATGCATAGAACATGAAATATTAAAAGTGCGGGGTGCCACGAGAATTCGCTTCAAATACGGCTTTCAAGAACGGTTCCATGTTTCTCTGGTCACTGCCTCCTTTAGTCCGTCAAGAATTTCTGCTGCGCCTCGCACGGGGTGTTTAATCCGCATGTTTTGCTTAGCTTTGCTTTAGCATAGTCCCTTCTACGCTCGTGTTTTTTGGACATCGGGCGTTTGTGGAACTGCCGTTGTGGAACGAATTGGCAGCAATAAAGTTTCGCAAAGCTTTTTACTGACTTTAAAGTTTAAGATATGAATATTCCCGTAGAAAATTTTAAACAACTGATACCACCCTTTTACAATACTTATGTGAAACATGGTCTGTAATCCGAATTTTCTCGCCTATGATAACATCTAATATCTTTACTTTACTTTCCTTTTTTGAATTTTTGCCTCCAATGAACATTGGAACATTGTTACTTTTCATTTTGGAAAATCTGTGTGAATTTTAGGTCCAAAGCAAACCAAGGAACTTTTCGAAGCATTTAATTGAAGTTGTTATTTTTTGAATATGGATTAATTGATTGATAAGTTCATCGCGATATTAGCTTCAATAAAATTTTTTTGAGGATTATCATTTCAATATTAGGGATTTTTGAAGTTTGATAGTCGAATTTTATAAATTCTGCATACGATTTTGAGTTGATTGGAAAACATAACTTGATTAGATTAATAGACTTGGGAATTTATTCTTCCGGGTTTGTATTTTATTTCATATGTATATTCTTCAAGTCTTAAACGCCAACGAATAATTCTACTACTTGGATATTTGCAATTGAATAGCCACATCAAAAGACAGCGGTCTGTCAAATTGGTGAATTTTCTACCATATAGTTAAGGACGGAAATGTTTAGTTGTCCAAGCAATAGCATGGAGCTCTTTCTCGACCACTGAATAATAATAAATAAATAAATAATTTGTCTCAGCTTTATTTAGGATACAAGCATCAGAAATTGGAAGATCTTTTCCTACTTCGCCTAGGGGAAGAACAGCACCTATCGCATAATTAGATTCATGTGAAAAATCTGGGTTTGAAATATGGGGTTTGGCATTAAAACGTTTTTGCAATGATTAAACGAATTGGAATCTTCTTTAGACCAATTATAAAGAGCATTTTTTTTAGACGATCAGTTAGGCGTTTAGCAATTTTGCAAAAATCTTTGATGAAACTTCGATAATAACCAATTAACCCTTTGAGTCCGGAATTATTTTTCACAAAAAAGAGGCTATAAACGTTGTAAATACTGGTTATATGGAGGTAACTGAAGGTTGTCTGGAGGTCAGTTTTTATATTTTGTTTTTGTTGTTGCTTTTGAAGCGGGTGCTCATCATGAAGACACTATGCATTAGAGGAAGTAAATATATATTCAATTTTTTAACTCTAAAACCAACTAACAAATTTCCTGTTTTTTGAAAAATCGTAAAAACTCATTTCTTGTGATATTCCATAAAGCAGTTTTTTCTGTCGTTCAGGCATAATGCAACTTCACATCTGAAACAAAAGGAAATCTCTATTAGTTTTCACCACGTTATATCTGTATAAAATCTTCAACCTCACTTAGTAGACGGGTCTATTGTCAATCTATGTTGCAAATGCCAATCCGTCCATGCTGATTCGCCAGTCGACTTCACCCCTTTTCAAACCTTTGTCCACAAGCCCCCAAGCGTAAATTAGTTCAGTCTGCAAACGTTTTTGAAGTTCGCCAGAGTTGAAAAAATTGTCGAAATATATGTGGTAGCCTTTTCCAACTAAGTCTTTTGTAAGATCTTGAACCACTCTGCAGCCAAGATTTGTTTCTACAATCTGGCCCACTTTTCCTGTATATATTTGAAATTGGCAAACATATCCTGACTCTTCTGCCCGAACCCAAACCTTATATCCCCTTTTGATCGGTTTGTTGGGCATGTATTGTTTCAGCGCGTTGCGACCCTTGAACCTAATCATTGATTCGTCGATGGATTGATTCTTTGAGGGCTTCCAAGAATTTTTGTAAGTCTCAGATAAAATATCCAATAAAGGACGCAGTTTATATAATTTGTCATAATTTGGTGAATCTCTCCCTGGCTGCACTGAGTTGTCGTTTAGATGAATATTAGCTAATATCCAAGAAAATCCATCTCTGACCATTGCAGAACTTATCAAAGGATCTCTTAGCTCAGGCCGAGATGACCAATAGTCGCGATAACTTGGCATTTTTTTATGCTCATTGCTAAATTTATGGCAGTAAAGCATTTTATTTCTTTCAGGTTAGTAGGTGTAAAGTTTGTTGAATTTCCACTTGATTCTTGTAATGCATATAAATTAGTTTGAAAAACCATATGTTCCAATAGCCGATTAGGAAAAATCTGTAAGAACATGTCCGTAGGTGATTCCATTTCCAAATCAATATTTGGTCCAGAATCTTTACAAAAGTCTTTCAAGATATGTAAGCAGTTTGAAACAGATTTTATCCAAATCGTTTTTTTCGAGAGCTCTCGGGCCTTTATTAGAGAAATCGGAATTTCGTCTACACTGCTCCATTCTTCTGATTCCACCGAATCACGCTCATTGTCAATAATTATAGGCATTGCCTCTGTCAAAAACATCAGTTGCGTTATAAAGCAAGTAAACACAAAACTTGCCAGACATGTTCAAAACTAACACTTGAACACAATAAAATAAGTAGCAACAACGCTCAGTACAATAGCACGTGTTTGTACAAGAACATACTAACCAAATATGTCGCACCTCCGATAAAACTGCTGAATTTTATGGTCTGAAAACATTTGCGCGCGCATCGCTTAATGTGTGCTTACAACAGGAACACTAGGAAACAGCCAAGTAATTAATTTGTAAGTGTTTTCGCCCTGGGCACACTAGGAAACAAAGGGTTAATCCTATGAATTGTTTGATTTGTTTCGGATTTTTAGGTACGGGATAGTCTTTTAAAGCTTTAGTCTTGTCTGGATTCGAAAGTATTTCATGTTCATTTATGCTATGACCTAGATAGATTACGTCTTTCCGCATTAATTCACATTTCACTGGTTGGAGGGGGAAGTTGTTTAAATTTAAGCGTTCGGAATTTTGCAGAATGTTGTTCAACTGCAGCGGCAAATACCACTATTTCATCCAAATATACAAAACATTGTAATTTTTGGACACCAGTTAAAGCAATAGTCATAAGACGTTAAAAAGTACTAAGAGCCGTTTTTAAGCCAAAGGCATGCGAAGATATTCGAAATGACCGTAGGGGTAGAAAGTGCCGTTTTAGGAATATCGGCTTCCGCTATTTTAATGTGGGGGAATCCGGATGCTAAATCAAGGGTTGTGAAATATTTCTCAGTCCTTGTTCATCATACTACCTATTTTTTTCTGGGATAATATTTTTGAGTCTCCATCTTGCGCTTTTTTGACGCTTTTCGTCTTGCATATTTCTCCACTATCTAGAATATAAAATGTTTTGTGAAATGTTGCACAAGTAATAGATAAAAGACCAATCTAACTAACAAACCTCTTTTAATTCAAGTATTTCATCATCATAATCATCGTTTATGTTTTCTGTTAATTCCCGTTATCGTAACTTAAGGCTATTTGTTGCCATTTCCACTCTGATTTGTTTCGTTACTTCAGAGTTCAATATTGAATTGAACCCTGAACCAATTTTCCTCTTGCATTCTTGAATTAATTCCTGACTTCCTGCTCCTTTTTGATCGCCGAAGTCTGACCTGATACCTGCTGTAGTACATCGTCTAAAACAGAATTAGTGCCTCCGGCCCTTTCAAACATTCAAACATAATGAATATGCTTGCAGTTATTGGTCCGAACTAAATAATCTGGACACTTATACCGGTGAATGCATATTTTGAAAACCCTGTAGTACGAAGTCCTACCCAGATAGCACACAAATATTACAGTAATATTGTTTTGCAGTATTTAATATAGGTTGAAGCGATAGATTCTTGAATATTATAACAATATTTCTTATAAATATTTCTTTGAAATTTAAATCAGATATTTAAGAAATATTATTTAAAAATATATTTTACATTCAAATCAGATACTTACGAAATATTTTTTTTTGCAATATTTGATATAGGTTGACGCGACAGATTCTTATATATTATAAACATATTTCTTGTAAATATTTATTTGACATTTAAATCAAATATTTATGGCATATTTGTTTTAAATATACATTTGGCATTTAAATCAGATATTTAAGAAATATATTTTTAAAATATTTATTTGGCATTTAAATCAGATATTTAAGAAATATATTTTTAATACATTTGTTTGAAATTTATATCAGATTTAAAAAAAAACATATTTTTAAACATTTATTTGACATTCTCAAATATTAATTTTATTTATCGCTTAATTTTTTTATCAGTCTTTTTATATAATTTTAATTCCTTATTTTTTAATTTGCTGCTAATTACTACTTTGAATAGTGCCGCCGCCACTCACATACCTTCCCTTCTTCCTCCTCCTCTCCTTTTTTCTAGTCGACTTTTTCCAGCTCGGTGTTTGGATTTGCATGGCAGGGTCGGGGAATCGAACCTGGTCCCTTCGGGTCAGTAGCCTATGGGCCCAACCACTCTGCTATAGATCACTATGGTATTACGTTGGTTAATTTTGATCTATTTTGGTGACTGCGTGAAATAATTATTGTAGTTTTCTTTCCTGGTTTTCAGTCAAAATGTGAAATACAAATTTTCATATCGTCTATTTCACGTTTGGGCGAGACAATAATCAGATTAAAATTCAAAACAAACCCATAATTGGGAAACATTTAATTCTTTATAGGCTTAGCGCTCTTCAAAATTCCATATTTGATTGAATTACTTCAATTCAGTTAAGTAATACCGTTATATTAATTAGACCATTTATTTTCGACAAATTTTATTAGTCTGGTTCAATAAACACAATATTTTCAGAGTTTAATGAAGGTCTCACGATTCAGAAGTAAAGAGGATTTACTTCTCCGCGCCCCCTATTTTTTTTCTATATGCCATACTAAATATAAATATTTTTTTATTATCAAAAAGAAATATTTCTTTATGCTATTAAATATTTACAATTAATTGACCAATAAAAAATTGAGGTAATATATATGTTCTAAAGTTTGTTCACACTTAATAAAAATAATATATTGGCAAGTTTTTGGGTGTTGATTTTTTAAATAATATTTATAAAATCTGGTGAAATGTTTGAAATATTTACCAAACATATAAATATTTAATAAATTGTATGTAATACTTTGTGCAATCTGGGAGCGCCATTATCGATGTTGAGAGTTATGGGGATGATATTGTAACGGAAATGGCCTGGGGTACTCACGTTTGGAATGGGTGATCGAAATTCATGGTATTTCAGTAAATGGGAGCCCCATTTGGGCCCCATTTACTGTCAAATATGACACTGACAAGCGGGAAGTTTCGCACCTGTT